TCCGGTTCGAAAGGCTCGCACTGTCATTCGCTACTGCGCTAAGACGTAGAAAAGGTGCGCCATCAGCCTTGACCTCGTACTGTAACGTTTGCAGAACGATGCTGATCTTCGGCGACATTCTTGGTAAGTGAATCGACATAGGAAATCAGGTCCGCAGCATAGATGCGTGAGAAATGAATGTGCAACCATTCTAAGGTGGTATTTCATCTAGCAGTCATCGGAAGGTCGCTCCAACATCACCAAGACTCTTAGCTCATCATTCGCACCTACACAAGCGCCATCTTGCCGGGAGTCGTCTGGCCAGAGAGCAAGGAAAACTTACAAGCTATTCTGGGCCATTTCGCATGTAAGAAGACTACACTCCATCGGCACAGACTATGGGTCGGTATCGAGGTTTAGAATAGAAGCCACGAGCGCATGAAAACTTCTCTGTACAACTCACAAGACTCTCGAGCGAATCTTCTTAAAAGACGGACCCTGGCGAAGCTCTGTCTTACAACCAGAGGGTCTACTCTCGAATAATGTAAACTCTACGTTGGATACTACGATGTCATCAATGGCTGGTCTCAGCATTTTCTGCTAGCTGGGAGATGTCGGTAAATGCGCCTAAAGACATTTGGAAGCCAGATACCCATTACCTAGAGGGAGACATCTGTTACGTAATACTAGGCACATTTCCAGCAGCTGGCGTAGCTTCAAGACATCGTATATCGGCATTTTGACAAGACATAGCACTAACTACAGTCAGTCATACAGCTCAAGTTTTATAGGAGATGATGTGGCTCGGTGTGTTTACCTTTGATATCTTCCGTCTGCACTTCATGACCCAACGGTACGGAAAATTCTTCCCACGTACTATAGGAATATGCCGGTGGAATATTCCAGATAGCATAAGCGTTGATTTTACTGCTTGCGAATTTTGGACAAGAAGCGCTTTTTGCGGCGGAGTCTCACTGGCTTCGACTGGGGACTGGGACAGATTTCCTTCGATAATCTCGGCTTTTCAGTTTCTCGTAGCATGGATAAAACGCCCGAGACCTAGCGGTTTGCGATACGCCTCGTTGAACAAGCTTAGCCGCTAGACTCCCAAAGTTGGGGTCCTCGACCGCGGACCACGACATTTTTAAGCCATAGTTCAGGCCATCTGCGTCCTCTACCAACTCTTATCCTTCCTCTGTTCCGCCTGCTATCATTTGTGAGTTGTCTGACATGGACTTCATCGTTGGAGACTTCTGCTTGTTCTGTGATGGCCAGACCAACGGCACTGCGTTTTGTTCATCACCATGTCGTATCAAACAACTTGACCATCTCGCTCTAGCTGAGCCGACAATATCAACGCCTTCACATGGTGCAAACACAACTACGGTGTCAAAACTCCTGCCATTGTCTAACTTGACAACCGGCTTCTACTTTCCACCAGCTTATGACTTCTCCATACACCATACATCATCTGTGGGCCCCAGTAAGCTATCCGTTCGCTCCCAGTCAGACAACCTCAAGCCGTCACAAAAAGAACAAAGCGATCTCAGCACCTACGTCGGCGCCTTTGATCAGACCAGGATACTTCGACGTCGAGTCTCCATGCACATGAATAGCAACCACTGAGAACCTCTTGATGCAGCGCGTCGAAATTTTCTGCCCCTTGACCACACCACATTTGAAAACGATACGAATACCTGGGGAGTGAGGATGTCGGGAAATAATGTCACTATTGATTTCTGTAAAAGGAGCGAGGTCAGTCGTATTCAAGTAGGTACTAGCTAAAGGAGCAGATGTTATTGATCAGGATGAAGTGGCGGGAAAGCACTGTAGCCAGCATCATGTATAGTGTTCAAGAATTTATATATGGATTTGCGAGGAGCCAACGCTTCGCTAAGCAAATGATATCTGCGACCCGACCTCAAATTTGAACGGCTCTTGAAAATCTGGGGTCGCCGGGGTTTTACTGAACCAATACTCACACAAGCAACCACCAGGATCGCGTTGCAGGGTGTGTCAGGAGTCTTTTTGAAACGCCACGATTGGATGATGCGCCGTTCTGCAGAGTAAATCGTCTCGTGACCGGCTTTGTGACCCCACTACCATTTTCCTCTCCCCATATGGACAAGGCTTCCGTCTATTAATGTCAGTTATGACTGCAGGGATCTTCGGCTCCAGGATTTCTCCTTGTTAGCTTTAAGTTTCCCGGCTTTAGCCCGACGATCCGTGTCATCTAGAAGCTCCATACGCAGCTCCCCACTTTGGGATTTGGTTCGAACGAAACCAGGGTGTTTCCAAGTATGGCAGAAGGCCGAAGAATCCTCACGGGGTGTAAACAACGGGGGATTGCCTTGGCTGCTGCCTGGCCCAGTTTTGTATCTGGATCTAGATAGATTGCGAGCTTGAAATAGTCCTACAGTAAGGATCAGTCCACCGATTGAACCAAGACTTTGCTGCCGAGCTGCACGGCAACTGTATTGGACTTGTTGATTGTTTCGACGGGAGAAGGAATCCGCTGTGGCACATATACGGAACGAGTTTTGCAGGAAATACCGTCCTATAGAACGGTAATCTTGGAATTACGTCCAACGCTGTCAAAAGGTCATTGGCCAGGATTTACCGGATAAGAGCATGTTGAATAGATCCGTTGGTCTGGAAATTCTTGAAACTCTTGTCAGGAAGACACATCCGGAACCGTCATCAGTGCCTGATGATCAATGATGCTGGCATACGGCTCGCATAGCCTCGACTGGTAATGTCCCCAAAAAGGATCTCGCAGCCTTGTAGGGTTCGGCATAAAGACCTTGCTCCCTCCATTTTCAGCATACCCGGATGCCTCTTTTATATGATAGGGCACGTAAACATCATCTAACGAGGCTAACATCACCGTAGGCAATTTCCCACAGAAGTCCCCCTCTTCAACCTTTAACACTGAGAAATCTGGCATGTAACGAGGTTTTTGGTGGTCAATCATCGCATCGGACTGGTACACAAAATGAGCGCCGGCTCGTGCTTATTTTTCGTTTAAGATTAATGCAACACCAGGCAGGCGACAAAGCCCGCAGAGAGAATTTTGGACGTTACAAAACTGCAAGCTGTAAGCTCAAACTATTCCGCGCTTCTAGGATTTGGTCACGATCACATGCACGGCCAAGGCTCCACCTTATGGATGGTTCAAGGATGGAGCAAATTGCTCCAGATGACTGGCATGACGCTGTGGACACGAGACTGATGCTCTTTTCTGATCACGAGCTTTGCAACAGCGGTCTGAATGTCCTACAACATCGCCGTTTAGAAGGCCACAAATGGCTTGGACCATGTTTGCCCCGATTAGGCCCCATGCAACCTGAAGTACTCTGTAAAGTCGGTTACCCTGCTGGTTACAATCAATAGAGTCCCCAATCTCTGCTTGGTCTCGTCTACTTATCTGCGAGCGGCTTTGCCAAAAATCCACCAAGGCTTCCAGGGTTCCTACTCCGCTCGAGATAAGGTAAATCATCTGAGTCTTAAGACCCATCGAGTCACTCATGGTCTTGGGCAGGGTGACGATGATGTGTTTGAGGCAGCTACTAGATCCGCTCTGTGAATGTTTAAAAAGGCGCAGGGTAGTGGTGGATATTGTGTGATCCACTGGCTGTAAGTCATCGGAACCGGCTTGATGGCACAGTGGTGCGTTTAATCGATGGCCACGTCCGCGCTCATTGCGTGGGATCTGCTAAAACCTTGCTAGCACAAAAATGCGCATCCGCACCCGGCCGCGCTCGCAGGATGATGTACTTCATGCACGGGCGCTGACCTGATTTCCTCTTCCATCCAATTTGTCACTTTCTACCGTGCTTCATACCGCCCGAGATAGATCAATGTACGTTTGAAGACCATGGATGCCACGAAATTTGAGTGTATAACATGTCAAAACCACTTCGAACCTCCTGTGACCACGTCAACGGCAGCCCCATTGGCAACGGCACATTTTAGTGTAGCATTGGCTTACCTTGTTTGCCTGCCTCGGAGGGATCAACCTTGCCATGAGCAAACTGGCCCTTTTGGCTCCCACTAGTGTTGCCGTTACCGCCACCTCCGGAGCTGGAGGTGCTGCTGTCACTACCACCAGAGGTACCGCCTCCAGAAGCGAGACCGCCCTCTGTGATAGTGGTTAGAACCTTATGAAAGAGACCTGTATTAAATTCACTCTAGGAGACCTACTCTTGCCAGCCTCATGGGGGTCGACCTTGCCGTGCGCAAATTCACCAGGGGCGCTTCCACCGGACGAAGACATTATTGTTTTAGTTTGTCGGGAGTTGCTTGGTGATACAATGTATACGATATTGGGGTGTGACGATGGTAGATGAGTTACGTTACGTCACCAATATTTAAGATGAGCTGATCTCCAGAGGTCACATAAAGTTGTTATATGACGCAAGAACTATCTTAACTGAGCCTATGGTTCTCTATGACTGTGCCGGCTGTATTTCACCGTCGAGAAGACTTGGAGGTTTGCGCGCAGCGTGTGGGCACGCGGATTTTGTTTATTACGACAATGGCGGAAACCAGATATCGGCCTACTGTCATTTTCCGTATCGGGCAGAATGGTCGGCAATTTTGCGAGCTTGCTGCTTCATGGCACCTTTGCTGATACATACCCCGTGGCGGATGCGGCCGGCCTGTGCCCTTTCACCTCCTATCAGCCAATGACGTTTCGTGATATATTACAAGTAGTTGTATGCCGGCAGCCTGGAATCATTTTGCCCATCAGCTGGAGCTCTAATAGTGTATTGACAGCCGAGCCATTTATGCTTTACGTGAGATGCACAATAGCACTGCCAAATAACGTCTATACAGTCTACTGAATTGTGCCGTACGGATCTTTCCAGTTCTGCAAAAGTCATGCGCCTTCGTCTAAACATCAGCAGTACCTCGTCCGTTGGCGTCCAGCTGATTAGCACATGAGCCTGTGCTGAGATTGCGGCAACGTCAAGATTGTCCATGCGAGCGCTCAGTATCGAAAACACCTATACAAATATTCACCACGCCTTGTATACCGACCGTGAGCCGGCGGTAAAACACCGAAGATATAGCATGGCCTTCAGTATATAGGGTATCAATTTGCCCACAGAATCCTCACAGTGCTTTATGTCCAGTGACAGTTCGAGGATAAAGACCGAGGTAGCTTGGCCAAGGTAATGAAGCAGGTTCCACCAGGGAAGTAACTGGTATGTTTCATGAGCACTTGGGTCATCAGGAAGAATGTCAACCAGCGACATTCCCGTACGCACGCAATGCCTGGCGTTGCTGCTATTGAATTCTTTTGAGGAGATTGATTCATCTGATATAACGATGTGGTATAAACATAGCCTGTATAATATCGGCTTAATGCTGTCATAACACAATACAAGATCAATCTTTGCGCGAGGGTCACTGGCGGTTGTAACCCTACTCTGGACGTTGAGCTCGTCTGGCAGACTCCTCACCCATATAGTGAGTCGGTTATCGAGGTCAGTGATCTTATTTGCGTCGCTGCCCAGGATTCGCACTATTGCGGTATATAGAGCTGCGTCATAACGTGGCTGCTAATAATAAGGAGGTCGGCCCGATGACGGAGATGTTGTCGAGGCGGTCCTTAGCCGACAAATCCAAAACATTGCCAAGGTATCTGCGGCACTCTCATGGTCTGAGGCAGTTTTCGTGAGCGACGGAGAAAGGTTAACCAGAGCTCCCTTGTGCCAACTTCGTCGGGCTGTCCGGAGCCATCGGCGTTCGGATCAGCTTCCAGGAGATCGAGGGGAACTGCGGGTGTGCACTAGAGAGACTGATGGCGGTCTTCCTAGACCTCTGACATTGCTACTTCAAGGCCATACAGTGCATACCATGTGCGAGCTCTTTCTCTGAGCTGTGCCGGGCTCAGGACAGTATCCACGACTTTCAGGTGTAGGCCGAGAGTGGATGCGTTTCTGAGAGCTAAGCCCACCAATGACCATGCTCTGACCATTGGTTAGCGCTACCTCTCTGCTCCAGAATACCAGCCATACCTGGTGATTGACCCATTCGTAAATAGATAAAAAGATAGTAGTCCTGTACTCATGATGCTTCCCATTGCCGCAAGATCGGGAATCACCCGATGGTCCAGCCCTAAAGCTCGAGATCGTGCATAGTATACCAGGTGGTTTTCGATACCCGAGTCATCATCCAGCAAGGTGCAACGCAACCACTTTGATCCGGTGGCCCACATAAGATTTGTTACTGCGAGCCATCTGCGCTGGTCCCACGTCAGGGACCTTTGATTGCGGGGGAATTGATGAAGCTTGAACAGAAAATTCTGCCGATCGATGCTGTCGAATATACCATGGAGAGCGTGGAAAAATGCCTCGGAAAGTATTCGAGCCGTCATATCGCCTGGCCAATGCAATGCATTTACGGAGTCCTCGTCGATGCTCAGGAGAGCTTCATCGTCTGTAAAATAGTTCAAATGGGCTATACACTCTTGATCAGGCACACTCTTCTGACGGCAGGGTGCTGGTCTGTCGAAGAGACCAGATAAGAGCAAGCTTGCGCAAGCCACGAGATTTCGGATACTTTGCCTATGAATGCCGTTGATAAGGTCAATATAGGACTGTTGGAATGCAGGGTTCGATAGTCGTGTATACCAGAGGTGCATTGAAGCCGTGTCGCTCCGCTGGAATCGTGCTGTTCATGGCGTAAGTCCAAAAGTCTTCCTGTCCGACACGGGAAATCCCACTCGACCCTTTCAACCCTCGAAACCCTGTTCATATTTCACGGCGAAGCCGCTGCATTCTCGAGATCTAGATCCTCCCACTTGTCGAGGAGATAGTCCAAGCCCATGTCGGCGAGATCAGACTTATCTTTAGACCCATTTCCAGACGGTAAGTCGGCAAAGAAGCCGCGGCACTTCCCTGGTAAATCGATTGTCCCTCCTTCACTGGAATCGGCAGATCCAACATTCAAGGTCCCTCCACTGCCAGCGCGAGGCACCAAAACGCGTTGATGCATACGACAGCGACCCTCATGGAACCCGTGAACTCTGTCAATCTGGCGGTCAACTATTTGAATTCGAAAGTGAAAACGAAGGCCGTGTTAGTGTACAGGACAAGGGTGGCCACGATCCCTCCAGTACCCACAAACACACCATTTGGTTTTAGGCAGCAAGGTGGCAAAAGTAATCGATGCTAGTGTCCCGATGTTTACTTTCCTTGGGCATGAATCAACAGGCTGACATGTCATGTTGCCCTTGGGATGCAGTCAAATACTAAAATGTCACTGGTTGGACGATTCCAGGGAGTAAACGCGGTTATCGATTTGTTGGTGGCTAGAGCCTAGGACCCGAGCCTCTCAAACATACTGGAGCAATCGAGAGCCAACCATTTTGTAATCCACACTGATTCAGTTGTTGGCTGGTCTGGAAGATGAGGCCTCTGGGGACCTCCCAGCCACTCTGATATTAATAGGTTGAAGTTAAAGTCGTATCAATGAAAGGAGAACGGTTCTTGCGACGCGACTCGGCCGCGATCCCCACTGAATCGTAGAGCTGACGTGTCACAATTCCCTCAGTCTTTAGACGAACGCTTTGATTGTCCTCCAATATCAGATTGGAAAAAGACTCTTCCCTGCCATGTACCCTTCTCACATAGTCTATCTCACCACATGCACTGACCGGAAAAATGACCCAAGCATCTTCAGGAAAAGGAGGCACTTTCAGGGCAAGGTGAGTATGCAACTACCGACTTCGGCCTGGGGCTGGTTTCTTAGATCGGCAAGTAATAAACATCTCTGCAAGATCTGGGAGTCAGCGCAGATTCAGTTGACGACTTCGAGAGTAAGAGGAATGGAGCATCTGGAATTCGGCGGGATTCGCAACGTTGTGATCGTTTCGCGCCATATCTTGATTGAAGTCATTTTTACTCTTCACTCTTCGCTCTTCGCTCTACATTTTGCGTTCTGTACTATGCACTCTGCACTCTGCACCCTGTATTCATATGGCATCAGCAAATAAGTTCACTCGTTGTTCCTTCCCTCAACCTTGACGACGGACCTCGAAATGAACGCGACTGTGCTGAGCCGTCGGTGGGTGCACCGTGGTTTCTGCCACAAAGGCTGTGTTCGGTGTGCCCTCGACTGCCAGATTGCGAGTACGAAAGTGGTGAATGCCAGTACTGGCAATGAATACGCTGGGAAAGAATTCTTTCACACATAAGACTGCGAGAAGGTGATCGAGCTCACTGGATATTCTTAGGTGGCCTGTCGCACTATTTGGTCAGGCCACAACACTGTAAACAAGAGGACGGCGTCTGGATTGGTGGAGGGCCAAGTAGAGGCTTAGCAGCCGCAAGCCATGGAAATTGGTCGGATATTGAACACAAGATTGGGATGTGTGCCAATCCAACTTAGTCAGGTCGACTTTGATCATGTGATTTGCATCATCGTTCGGGCGGCATATCATGTGTTTCGGTCTCAATTTCCAGATACAAATGTTGTTTTGATCGTCCCATCAGACAAGAAGACGAGCACTGTCTTTTCCCCACTCCTACATTGTATCGATGTGGGCAAAAGCTAGAAGACCAGCCCAGCAAATCTGTTGCTCAAGCTTTGCATCTTTCTGAGCGAATGGAGCCTCTGTTTTATTTCCACCTATAAGAGTTCATTCCCTGAATCATCGGCGGATCGACTGTTTTGGTACTATGATGGTGAACAATTATAACTTTTGGTATGCGTGTACCTGGAGAAGGATTGGTGCCTATGATATTCGGGTTGACGATGTCGTTAGGGTTTGTATCCGTACGAGGAGGTGTCATGTTCAGCTCAGACCTTGGCTCGAATATTTCGAAGAATACTAGGTATGGATCTGCTGTTGTCGAATGAATCTCTTTGGGACTACCACTATTGATGTATCCTGAGACTCAGCGTGCTGACCCATCCTTGGAGGACCTGACAAAGCACAAGCTTGAAAACCTCACTGGTTCAGCAGGTCTCGACCATTGATAGGAGCCGCTTGGATGAGGTCGCTGGAAGAAGGTCTAGCCGAAATGCAGCCTCTGTCACCAGAAACAAGTCGCAGTTGAGATTGCTTCTCGGGACAGGGATGCCGTGTTTGAAGCCTCTAGTTACGTATACGATTGTTTGGTGGAATTGGACCTTGACAACCGGTGAGGCATTTGATGGATCGATGCCTCTCAGATGGTTGGAATCGATAAGAGCTTGACCAACTTTCGCAGAGGCAACTAGCATTCTAATCGATGACATTGGAGCATGCAATTGCAACACCAACCAATGATTTTGCCTTCCTTGACTCACAGAAGAGACTTCATGTCATCTTCACCACGATTAGGACGCCTGGGATCGCCATAATTGGTGAGGAAAAACGCACTGCGGGCTAAGGCCGTCGCCATATCCTGTAAGTATGTTGGTCACGAGACTAACTGAGACACGGACTCACACAACGCCGCCTACTAGTTGATATTGATCCTAGCCACCTTGGCCATTGTCGTAGATGCTGCCTCCCTGCCTCGGCAAGCGGAGGACTTATCGGATGGAAGAACAGGCGGCCGCATCTGGTCTGGGGAACCAGAGTCTATCTTCCGGACAGCGAGATACGGTCAGCCAAAATCCTTCAGAACACCTCCAAGAGTCGTCCTCTTTCACGCAAATCTTATCTTTCTCATGTAGCAAATACACTGAGAATCTCGCAAAACATCGATCATGCGACACATCTACTCCTACAAACCAGTCGCCAGTGACTCTTCCATCGACACTGATGGTCTAGCTTCTCTCGACTCCCGCGACTCATTCTCGTCCTATACGAGTCCTCTACCACCCCAAAACTGTGGGATTTCTCAGCAACGCTTCAGCAGCAGCTCTTCTTGCGATGAATCATATAAGCATCACCCATGGATTTTGAACAAGAGCTCACGTTGTCGAGATAACGAAAAGTTCTTCGTCACCTATCGTAATCACTGGGTCATAATCAGTTGTCAATACCAGAACTGCGAGCCTGACTCCTTGGAAAAAGATCTCATGGTGCTTCGTTGTCCCGATATCAAGAGTAGAGCACTATACGAAGCTCTGCAGTACCATCTACACGAAGTTTCATTCGATGATACGGTTACCTCTATCACATTGAAAACCGTTAGAGGCACGCTGGAAGTTCACGTCACGAATGGCACGAAAAAGAGATCTGATGATGATGGGAACAACTCTCGTCGTGAGCAATCCTCGGGCATCTCGGCACCAAGGGGCAGCTTGTACCAAAGAGACGAGAAAGAGAAGAGACGTCGACGATGGTTTGATGAGCAGCCTATTGTTGTCCCTCAACGATCCTCATCGCGTTTGGAAGCCCGCTCAGTACGATCACGGACGAGCCTACGATCATCAGATGGACTTGGAAGACGATGATGGCTACATGGGGGATACATGGAACATTATTGTTTAAGGACCGAGGCTCTGAGTATCATGGCTATTGTAAATGGAAGTTTCTAAGTACGGTGCATATTAACGGCATCAGCCCTCCCACACCGCACCAGGAACGCATGACAGACGAGTGTGCCCATTGCATATACCATCACCTTCTCGACGGCAGCGGCCGATAGATGTGGGAGTTCGCATCAATATCATTACCGCGAAAAGCACCTTGCGAAGCTCGTTGGACTGGACTCAAAGGTCGGTGTTCTCTAAACAAGAGGGTGGTCACCATGGCCCTAAATTCGCACCATTTTACGTTGCCGTCGACGCAACGATGCAACGTCGTGGCCACCGGAACCGCAGCAGGAATTACGCGTGAGTTGCATCTTTAGGAGGGCGGTAGATCACATGGAATAGAATGGCGAATGAAGAGCAAGAGATTGAAAAGTTTCATCGTGATCCCCAATGCCACCTCTTGCCGAAGCTAGGAGCCAGGTTGCTGACAAGTCAGCTCCACAACCCACTGCGGATCGCAGTCCGATCGTGCCATGATCTCTTCATCATCGAGCTTCAGTAACGGAAGACGCTGCACACGGTTCGTGTCTGCCAGCAATTCGAACAAACCTCCTCCTACTGCGCGATCCACTTGTCGCAAAAATCGTCCCTTCTCCGTGTCGACCGCATTCAAAAGCATCGTGTGCTCGGAAACTGACAGCATTTCCTCGAAACTGCTGACTGTTAGTGGAAACCCCGCCCTCAGGGACGCAACACTCCGAAAAAAATTAGGTACAGCACTTACGTCCGGTCACTGGCCACCACCCTACTATCTCCGATCGACCAGTCCCGGCTGATCAGGCCGAGAGACGACCATCCAAGCCGTTCCGCCCATTGAAGCCAGCGCTGGCCGGCTTCAATCTGCTTCGACAGTTTCCGCTTACACTGGTTCCACTGGACCGCCTCAGGAGCGTCCGAATCAATCAGACCGCTCTTGGTCATGGTCTGGCCTCTAAAGCGATCGGGAAAGGCCGCGCCCCAGATATGTTCGATCATCGAGCGATATGCTTTGGCTTTGTCGTCTTTCGAAGCTGGTCTTCGCCTGGACATCCAGGCGGCGGTGTCGTCGTCGTCGATCGCGATCTGACCCGCATTGGCGGCTGTGTTACGATACAATCTCGCCAGCCGGGCCAGCGCCAACCGTCGCATATAAGCATACATGTCGCCAGCCGTGTCGATGGCTGTCAGAGTCTTGACCAGTCTCTGTGGGTTGTTGCTAAAGGCGTCCGCAATTGACGGTGTTCCGCCTTGCTGTGCAGCGGTCATGGCTCGTTTGAGAGCTCTAAATCCGTGACTGTTGCCGACAGCCAAGACCATGGTGACGAGGATGTTCACGCGATGCGGATTGACGTCTTGTAGATAGTCGCGATTCGAGGACACCACCCCCGGAGGCTGACAGAACCTGTCCCACACGCGGACTGCTTTGATCGTTCCAGATGTCTGAACATTGTCAGGGGTTTCTACCTCCCTTTTCATGTCCCATTCCTTCCAGTAGGCTTGATCTGTCGATGACTCTGGTGTGACTGTCGCAGCCGGCTGTGAAGGAGTTGTGGGGGTGGGATCAGCAAGTCTTGATTTCTTTGAGGGTGTTTCGAGGATAGCGGCACGAGTCGAGCGCTTTTGGGATGGCCGTGCTACATACTTCAGCGTGATACCGCTGGTAACGGATATTCCTTCTGGGACCTTTGGATTCTTTGTCAGGAGTTCTTCTCGGTCTTGCCTGTTTCTTTTCCTTTCTTCGTTTTCTTGTCGTTCTTCCTCCACCTGCTCATCACCACCGACATTGTCGTCGTCCATGCCATGATATATCTTGTCGTCGTCATTGCCAACATGGATGATGTCGTCAGGTTCTTGCTCCTCTCCTGACTTATCAGTCTCTTTTTCACCATCCATGCTCTCCCTGTCCGCCTCTGGAACCACTTGTTCTTGCGAAAGGCCTTCCTCGCCCGGCTCCAGGGGGGAGAGAGAACGTGGAATCTGGTGGCGATAAGTCCGCGTTGTCCATTCACGGTCGGGAATGGCGCCCGTTTCTGTCTGTTGTGCCCCGACTTCGTCACCAGAAAACTGTGGGATGGTCTCAGTACCGGGCGCTAGCGAGCCTACAGTGGAAGATTCGATTCCACAGCTCGGCCTACCAGCGAGACTTCTCGGTGGGCCCGAGCTCGCCAACACCCCAGGCTCCCGTCCTTCGTCCTCAGCCTCTGCTGCAACGTCAGGCACTGATGTAATGGCTTCCAAGAAAGCTCTAACATCCACACAGAATTTCTTGATGTATGACGCCCAATTTGGATGGTCTCGACAAATATCGTCTAGACACGAGCGATGACATGCATTTTTCGGACGGCCAGCTTCTGCGAGAAGGATTTGGACGGTGTGGCAGACCCTATGATCGTTGTAGGATACAGCACTCATTTTCGTCCTGTTGTAACATGCGGCGTGTTCTCTGTGACGTGCTCGACAGGTCGCCGTGAGAAAGGCTGCCTAAAATGAGACCTTTCTCCGCTTCGAGTTTTTCCCGGCCTGGGTTCTTTCCTCGTACGCACGTGATCATCCCCAGGCAAAAGAGTGTGAATCACGTGCCGATTGCTGGAGTCTGCCTCTGCGGCAGTTGACCGCCACGTTGTGAGGATGACTGTCGATCATTCCGTTATTCACGGATTCAGCTGGAGGATTCCGAGCTCCCATCCCAACAGACCTTCACTTCGCAACTTCTGACCGGGTCTGTAGAGCGTGGTGGACATGTTCTCCTCGGCGATCGAACATTGTCGAGTAAGTCCTTTCCTGCGTTGGGCATGTTGTCCCTACCTGTCCTGCCCTAGGAACCACCAATGTTGCGTCCTGCGAATCTGTGTAAGAGAAGCCACCAAAGCCATATTTACAAGACAGTGATCAAACGAGAACAAAAGGAAAGGAAAGAAGATCAGGAATCTTCCTGGGTCCAGTCTGACTTCGTGGAATATTTGTGTCACAAGCTTCAGAGATAAGAAATGAAAGAGGAAATGCAAGAGGATGAGGCCACCGATAACAGGCAGCCACATGGTCTAGTTGCGGCGGCTCGACATTTTCGGAGCCGGGCTCCAGGTTGACCATGGTCGACCATGGTCGACCTTGGAGAGACTGCCCTGACAGGCACACGAAATTCTCCGGGCGGTACATGTTGGCGATCCGTCGTCAATAATCAGCTAATCCATCTCTCAGCTCTTCTTTGGTTACCGGCGACTTTTCGAATGGATCAGTCGTCGTAGCTGGAGCATGTTCAGATTTTCACCCCTATGGTCACGGACACATCATTGATTCTCGGCCAGACGGAGTTATTTCTTTCCTCCGCGTAGGTCAGCTCGTCATGTTCACGAAAAGTAAAGAACGGCAGTAGTATGTCTTATCAAAAGTACCGCTCAATATCATTGGTCTGGTGAGTTCAATGTGTCCTGAAGGTAGTGAGTGAAGTGTTACCCTAATTGCGGTATGGGGAGTAGGGAACAGACCCGGGTGTGCCGCGCACTCTCACTGCAAGTCAATATCTAGACATTCATGACCTATTGTTGGGACCTTTCATGACTGGGTTTCTTTTCTTTTGTGGCATCTCCCTTGCCGTCTCCATCACTTTGTCTTCCTGACCTTATTGACCGGCTGAGGCTCCTCTTCTTGATCCTCCAAGGGGTGTACAAGAGGGGCATGCTGGGGCAGTGGGATCACTGGGTCAATGCTAGCCTCGCTGGACATGCTGGTCGTCCATAATGAGCTCGGAGCTTGCAACGACTGCGAAGATATGACCGGCCGGTTTCTCTTATAAGGTTGTCGTCGCCAGAAGAAAAATAATCGCTGATGTGATCGAAGCAAAGATCGAGGCAAGCACTTTCTCGAGGTTTCAACATCAGTGAGGCGGGAAGGCTCTCCTCGACTAGTTCTTTTGAAAAGGTCACAGCAGCCACGGCCGTTCTGCTCAGACGGAGAGCCCGCCTTGTGATATTGGATTTCCTCATGAAGATCGTGAGGCTTTTTTCGATCTCTCTCAAAACAAGCAAAGTACTGGACCAGGACCAACACAAACACGGGCAAGTGCAAACAAGCACGAAATGAATAGCTCTGGGCAAAGTCCAAGCTTCATGCTGCGGGCAGCCTCTGAGCGACAAATGATTGGCAGTGCGCGTACCACCCACCTTACTTTCCAAGCGAGGATCGCCCCCAGCCTTCAGCGTTTCTCACATGCTCATTGCCTGTCGTTGATCTAGGCTTGACAGGCAGCTGTTTCAAGCCTCTGGTGAAGCCTGATTGCCTGATTAACGGGGGACGAGTCATCCTCGGTACTCTTTTCTCATTTACACTCTATGAAACAGCCTGATCCACTTTTCACTCCATTGTTCTCCATCCCACCACTTTTCTTTGACAACGTCCTCTTCGAGTTTTGCTTCAGATGGAGTCCCAACCTAGACGTAATCGATATGGTGGACTTGCAAAAGCAACATTACAACGGGAAGCCAGGTCCTCGACCAAAGAGTGCTGGGGAGGAAAAGAATGTCGGAACTGTCAAGGAAATGCGCATGATTGCCTGTGAGTCGAAGTATACGCAAAAGAATGACTCGGTGCTGAAGGAAACCTAGCATAAGCAAGAACTTGACTACACCAAAAGAAGGGGTCACCAAGGACGTGAATACCTCATAAAGAAGCGATCGAATTCATCAGGGTTCATTCTCGGGATCTCAGGACTTCGTCTCTTCGAATGGGATAGCCAGAACACGCAGTTATCGATGATTGATATAGGGGCCTATGCGAGCCAGCCAAAGTGATATGTTCTAACCCCCTGTGAAATATGTATCCAGGTAGGATACATAATTAAAAATTTCCTAAAGAGGAAATGTTGAGTTCCCGATTCGGTCGAAAACTTTAGGATTATGTATCCACCTATTTTAATTATGTATCCACTAGGTTTAAGATAACTACGTTATTAATAACTATATAATATATCTATATACGAGAAAGTACTATAATAGACCTTAATTTATAAAAAGTATTAGGGTTTTAAGAATTTTTCGATTTATTTTTTATTTTAATTATGTATCCACTATTCTTTCTTAAGTTTACTCTTTAATTAATTTCATATCCACTAATTTTAAGATATATATATTAAGTATAACTATATTTAATATATTTAAATAAATTAATATTTTAAAAAAGCCTTAAATTTAGCTAATAAACTTAATTAATTAAGATTTTTTATTTATTTATTCTAGAAATTATTTATTTTATACTTATTTAATTATATATTTATTTAGTTTAAGATATATAGATCTAATATAATTAAGTATACTATTTATATATATTAAAATAATCTTAAAAACTATAAGACTAGAGTTTAAATATAATTAATTTAGTTAAGATTATTTAAATTAAGCCCTTTTTTAGATCTCCTTCTTTATTTAATATATATCTAAATACGATCGATTTATCGAGCGATACTTTTATTTAGCTATTTTACTAGGGTTTTTCCTAAGAAAAAAAGAATATAATAGTATCTCTTAATATTTCGACGATATTTTAAAAAAAATTAGAAATTTTAAAAAGATTAAGTATTGTTATGAATCGCTCCACTGGGTGGTGTCACGAGACAAGGGTTCCTTGGCAGGTGGGAAGTATAGAGTGTATGTCCGAAGAGCACGAGTATAAGAGCGGATCGCTATACTAGAGCGAAGCTGATCGATATCCAAAACGTATGGGTATGATCAAGAACGAAGTTGACTACGTAGTAGAGCTATGGGAGGACCTGCGTATATATAGTAGAGGGTGCTCAGTGCTGCTCGGTGGCTCAGGACTGAGCAGTACCAAGCTGACTGAGCACCTACTCAGGCTGCCCCCTTGTGCTCAGTGTCGGTCCACTGAGCACTACTGAGCCCTGTCACGTGATCCCAGCCTTGCCAACGAGGCTGTCTGTTCGGTATAGCTTCCTTTCCTGTTAGTTGGCTGCTGGTCATGACCTGGCCGCAGCCTGATTCGTAACAAGTATTTTCCTTTTTCGTTAAGTATAAATACGATAGAATTACTAAGAGTAATTAGCCTTGGATCGGAAACGAAGGTAGGGAACTAACTTCTTGGGCTCTGCAAGCTCCATATAATTGGGTACCTTTCGTTTGAACCACGCCATTGAAGGTGTCAGTATTGGGTCGCCAAAAATGACGAATCCAATGGCCAACCCAGTTGTCTTATAGACCATGTAATAATTAATAAAAAGCGACATGAGGAATAGAGGGACTAGAACAGCATCGATTCTGAGGAAAGCAACATGAGAAAATGGTGAAGTTGGCGAAAGTGCGCTGAAGTTATGTTAGTAATTTCCGTAAAGGTACAGTAAAGGCACCTTACTTCGCAACCCTCTCCCAATTATCAGCAACCTCCCCAACCACATGTGGCGCAACATCAAGGATATTGGCAACAGTTTCCGGGTTGACACCAGCCCATATGATCTCTTCCATCGGCTCCTGAGTCTGATCGGTAGTCTCGGTGATATGCCCTGGTGCGGAACCTGCGGCTTGGACGGCTTTGACTGCTTCCCTGACAGGCTTCGGAACCTTCCCCTCCAGTGGATCTCCCTCCTGCTGTGGCTTGTTATGCATACCGATAGCCCTTTGAAGGTTATGTCGGACGTTGTCGACGAAATTGGCCGCTTCCTCCTCCATAGCTTCACCCGGCTGCTTTTCCGGAGCACCGGTGAGTGTGTCGTTGGTGCCTAGCTGACCTGCCTGCGGCTTCTGGCACCCGCCTGTCATGATGTTTACCAGAGCACGCGGTGCTGGCGGAAAGAGTGCGTTGCGAGCTTCCACAGAAGAGGCCACGAGAATCAATGTCCCCAGGAGGAGCGGCATAAGAAGATCAAGTAGCCACGCAGTGAAATATACCTTAGTTGATGTCAGTACGACGTTTTGCTGCGGTACAGAGGTCAGCTGTGGCTTTGTGGTCAACGTACCGCGCAGAACGCCGATGTACGGCGAGTCTCCTTCCATGAACGAAGTCGCGATACTTGTTTTCCAAGACTTGCGAAGCCAAGAACCACAGTCAAGTAAATCCGTTCCAGGTGCAGCGTCAATTTGTCGGCCGCATGATCCTGAGACCACGCATCATTAAGGTCGAGACCACTTGCAATTTCCATAGGCACAGCTCTGACATCGAAGACATCCTACGTAATCGAAATCAGTCCTGTAGAAAAGAATTTTCCTTGGATAGCATGATCGGACGGGGGAAGTCCCACCTTGTTGAAGCGTCTGATGAATTGAAAAAGCTCTCTATTTGTGTGACCACCTATCAGCGGATCAGGTATCTCTACATTAGCCTTATGCCAACCAATATCTCTCACGACTTCGGCGTTGCTGCTACTAGGCTGTGTGGTTTGAACAGCACCTCGGACCTCTGGTACCTGGTGCGCCAGCTCGTGACTGTCCGCATTAAGATCCTTCCGCAAGATCGCTGCCGGGCCTTCCACCAGCACATGGGACTGATCTTGCAAGGTAGCCATCATAGTAGGGAGCTTGGTGTCATGAATGTTCGTGCCTGGTAGTACCGCCTGGTGGTCGAGACTTCGGTGAGCCCGCGGAGCAGTCCGTCCATTGGATGAGCCAAGCAAGGCATATGCTCTATCTTGCAAGGTAGCTGACATCGTTGGGGAAGCGTTGTCACGAACGTCAACGCCTGGCAGGGAATGCACCAAAATTGGTGGGGAAACGTCATTCACGTCCATCCCCTGACGTGACGTCGTCGTAATTGTGTGCCGCATATCGAGTCGTGGGGATGTCGTCATGAGTCGGAGCTAGCGTGGTATCGAAATGGTCAAGTAAATCCGTTCCAGGTGCAGCGTCAATTTGTCGGCCGCATGATCCTGAGACCACGCATCATTAAGGTCGAGACCACTTGCAATTTCCATAGGCACAGCTCTGACATCGAAGACATCCTACGTAATCGAAATCAGTCCTGTAGAAAAGAATTTTCCTTGGATAGCATGATCGGACGGGGGAAGTCCCACCTTGTTGAAGCGTCTGATGAATTGAAAAAGCTCTCTATTTGTGTGACCACCTATCAGCGGATCAGGTATCTCTACATTAGCCTTATGCCAACCAATATCTCTCACGACTTCGGCGTTGCTGCTACTAGGCTGTGTGGTTTGAACAGCACCTCGGACCTCTGGTACCTGGTGCGCCAGCTCGTGACTGTCCGCATTAAGATCCTTCCGCAAGATCGCTGCCGGGCCTTCCACCAGCACATGGGACTGATCTTGCAAGGTAGCCATCATAGTAGGGAGCTTGGTGTCATGAATGTTCGTGCCTGGTAGTACCGCCTGGTGGTCGAGACTTCGGTGAGCCCGCGGAGCAGTCCGTCCATTGGATGAGCCAAGCAAGGCATATGCTCTATCTTGCAAGGTAGCTGACATCGTTGGGGAAGCGTTGTCACGAACGTCAACGCCTGGCAGGGAATGCACCAAAATTGGTGGGGAAACGTCATTCACGTCCATCCCCTGACGTGACGTCGTCGTAATTGTGTGCCGCATATCGAGTCGTGGGGATGTCGTCATGAGTCGGAGCTAGCGTGGTATCGAAATGTGATGTCGCACTTCCGTGCCCCAACAATCCTTGCCTCTTTGGCCATGCCATCCGAGTCGTGGAAATATTTCTCCGCAAGCTTCGGCTCTTCCAGGCACATGTACGTACACGTACACGATGATCTCGCTTAAGTGGTCCACCATTCGTGCGTCGATCTTCGCTAATGCAAAGTAAACTCCTGCCAGCAGAGCTCAACATGATCGTTTGGCACTTTGGGATGCTGACTGATAACCGGCTAGACTTTCGTGCCTCTCCCTGAAACCGTCAAACATCCACACCTCATACCACTTTGGGCCCACACCATCGGAATCTATTCCCGTCGCTCGTATTTTGAACATTGGCGATCTCCAACAGCAAGGTGCGAGCTGTCCGACGTCTGTCAGAAAAACCCGTTTCCCTGGACAGTAGCACTGAGGACCTGGACCCTCAGGCGCCATTGTACTAGTACCCTAGCTTCCACATCGTTGCCCATCTGCTCACCTTGTGCCGATCAGGCAGAACAACGTGATCCCCATTGTTCTTACAATATCCTCTATAAAGATAGGGCGAAGACCTGTGGTAGCTTCGTGCCTCCGACCAGATCAAGGACTTTCCCCTCCCAGAGGACTCTGATTGCTGAACCAAAACCAGACATCAACACTAACTTCCGCTTTGTATCGAGCAGTTCCACTGGCCAACTGCTGTAGATGATCCACTGCCAGTGGCTGACCACTCTTGAACGTGGCTGTAATTCCCAACGAGATCAGCTTCCGAATATTATCCCCGGCAGAGATCGTGCGCCTGTGTGATTCAATTCTCGGCTATGTCATCAAGGCCTGATCCGATTCACTACGCACGTCGACCCCTACACAGTTCCCTGTCTGTGCCAGCCTTACTACCGGCAACTTCAGCTAGGGACTTACCCCCCAGCAAGAGGCCGTCTTTACCATCATTTTCTAGTCTTATGGACACCGTCGCTAAGCAGGCTGAAAAAGGTCAGTAAGTTTATATGGTCCTTTTCAGCTTCATAAACTCGCAGTTTTTGGCGCTGACATACAATAGGAGGTTCACAATCGCTAAACTATGATTCAGGACAGACGTCAGGAGCAAGTACTGATCGACTTTATGAGACAGGAAATCCAGCAATCGTCAACCCACTGACACCGGATTATGGAAATTCTGCCACAAATATGCCGTCGAGCGCGGCTCTTGCTCGTGGTAAGTACCTCTCAGCTCCTACGAGCGTAGGTCCAGATTTGTATGTCCACTGGCAGTCAATGGGTCCACCAGTCAATGGAGCTCGTCTCTGGAGACGTTCACCGGATGTGGCGGAACAGACCCCGCCAGTCTGGTGTCAAGCATCACCTTACAGCGAATCCTCGACTGAGTCGTCAGCATGCATCAGGCTTACCCAGCAAAGACTGTTATTCATGAAGTGGCCTAGGCCGCTTCCTCGTGTCGTGGCATGGCATCCAGTGGGTGCATCTATGGTACCTACATGGCGACATCATCATTCTGATCGCTCGACGCACGTAGAGTCTAGTCGGCGGACGGAAGACCGATACTTATGCCCGACATGCAGCAAGCTCTTCTCTCGACCAAGTGGCCTGAAAATCCATATGCATTCACATACAGGAGAAAAGCCTTACAGGTGCGGATATGAAGGATGTGGAAAATGCTTCAGTATAAAAAGTAACATGACACGGCACAGGAAATGTACCCACGATCGCGGATTGAGGTTTGGCAGTCTAAGAGCATGATCCCGATGCAGTCGACAACACCAACATAGGAAAGGGGCAGTGTGCGTCAACTTATGCAGTGCTTGGAGGACCAACTCAATTACTATTACTCATTGGACATTTGAGACACCTGTCGGGGATCCATGCTCATTGTCCACAAGTTAAAGAATACTGCAATCATAAGGGTTGTATAGCCTAGAATCCGAAACGCATCGAACACGAATCATTGTCCTCGGTGGGACGGTAAGTGTTCGTTGACTATACCGCAAGCGATAGCTATAAGTATAAGGAGCGCGAAGCCGACTATGCGAATGTTCGAGGTAAATTTCAAAATGCGGCTGTAGAGACTATTCTTCAATACTATCCGTAGCAGAAGACCACCCAAGGCTGTTCTAGCGGTGATAATTCCCATGGCGAGATCGCGCTCTCCTAAAGTATTGGCCAAGCATAGATCCGGCTGGCGTGAAAATGAACCCCATGGCCAGACCATACAGCAGCTCTTGTGCCAGGAGGAAGTGATAGAGTTCATCACGTAGGCTCGCCAGCATGATTGAGAAAATATACACAAGCGGGCTAGGGATGATGAGGACCTAGAGTCAGTAATTGTTGCATTAGTTGTCTTCAAAAGTGCAAGGAGTCTCGCCTCGTGCCACATAGATTGAAAAGACTACCTGATATTATTTCCGCGAAATATTGAGCCATTGCCTGAGTAGATCCAATCCATGAAATAGTCGAGGGCTGCTCTTTCAAAAGTTGGTGGCTTTTGTAGTAGGATTGAGAGGTTCTGGTGCGGGTGGTTATTAGCATGGATCACCTGTAGACCCTGCGCAATTCCTGCCACCACAAGCGCCGATGAGAGCTCTGTGAAAGGGAAGATGGAAAACAGGGCGGCAGGTTTTACATCCCCAGCATGCCACACAACGTAAATCTCTTGTTGCGAGTCCTGTACCATACTATAGAACAGGCAGGAACAACGATGGTTGAGGACTGAGGGAGTCCGGAAGGTAGCTGTCGATGAGAATCAATAATGGAGTTGGGCCAAGAGACGCGGGTATGTGAGTTGACTCCATGTCGGCGCCCTTCTGCTAGGCCTGGACCTTTGAGGCAAGACATCCACAGAGCAAAGTACTACCTTCAACCTAAGAAGCTTACTTTTGGAAAACTTTGGATGTCAACTGACCAGTAGACCCTTTCTTCTCGACCGCGAAAGCATTGTTTGGCGGCTTCATAGTCGGCAGGAGTCAGGACCACGATGGTGACGAGGTAAGTCCAAACCACAATCAGCAGTCTCGCAACCTCAGCACAATCATCAAGTGAGGGCAACAAGATCGACTCATGATCCACAGTAGGAGCACCTTTAGACTTCTTAATCTTTTCTGAACTGAACGATTCTTCCCAGTACTGGTGACTGTCGTCTAGGCATCCTCTTGCTGTTGCTTAGGAACAGTCATCTCCTTTGCTATAGGACTCCTCGTACGTCTCCATTAGCTTCTCGCAACAAGGGTCAAACACAGCGGTTGCAGGCACATTTGCTATGTTGACGAGGCGCTCGAACATGGTCATGTACCGGTCGAGATTTGCTGTGGTGTCCTTGAGATCCAAGATTGTTGGCTCCTGGATACTGAGAAGACCCTGACGGTTTAATCCATGACATTCCAGTTCGTTTCCGACAAAGAACCCAAAAAGGCTTTTGTCCTTCGTCTCCAGATGAATATCGCACATCAGTTCATAGAGAACCCTTACTGTATTGCCGATCCTTCCAATCACCGACGAGCCTTGGTAACACATCTCATTACGACCCTCTTACTCGGGCTAAAATTGTAGTGCAGCTAGAACAGTGATTGGCAGAGGTTGGCCAATGGTGCAAGGCAGTTGCTGCGATTACATTTGGTGGTTTGGTACCGATGGCGACTCTGCCGCTTGTGCAGCCGTTCGCTTCACTCGTTGTGGCAACCGCGGAAGGTGTATGCCCCCATGCGTTGTCCTGGTCCACCTTGCCACCTGGGCTCCTCCTGCTTGGTCGATTCGGTCAGATAGAAGCATTATAGACTACGTAATCACCTTCTCAAAGACTTGATCAAATTCGTTGAACGGGGTGGCAGGCTGGAAACCCGCGATGAAGAGCAACTGAACCGCGACGCGCTGCAAAGATGGGTCGGGAAATCAGGCAAGATTGGCGGGATCTCTCGCCGAGTTGTCTGGCGTCATTATCAATGTCATGCCTATCCACGGCCATCAGGCAATGGCGCCAAACGGACGGGCATATTCTGCCGGTCCCGTACAGATTTTGGAGTCGTCGTAGGCCGACAATATAGATATCGAGAGACTTCGTGATGTCGCCGTGCGGCAATATTCCGAGCGGCTGCAGGCACCCTACCAGGCCCATCCATACCAAGAAGAGGTCCAGAAGCCGAACAGGGCGGTCCTGAATGGTTGATTGATACAGTTCGTGTAGATCTACGGGGAGCGGGCAGGGAGTTTTTAGCCAGCAAAGAAGTCAAGCACGGCATCGCCAATAGTTTCATGAACGACGTTCTAGTTTGGAATAAGCGTCGGAAAGTACATCAGCCAAAAGCTGATGGTGAGTTCGCAAATGAGCAGTCACAGTCTGGCGAATAGACCGCCATCATGTAACAGTAGTCAATAGATTTCGTTCTCTAAAGGATCCTGTATTATACAATTTACACTATATAATGTCTAATACTGTACCGGCATTAGCTACGTACGCTACTCAGTTTTCAGTTCGTCAATCTTCCATTCTGCATGCCAGAAATTTCGTCTGGCACTCTTGCGGCCTCTGTCCGACCCGTGCCTACGGACTATTAGAGCTATCCACCGAAGTCGTGATCCGCGTAGTGTAGGATTCATAGAAATACTTTTTGACGCAAGGCTTTAACATAGCAAGCCATACTTCAACGGGGCTGAAGTCCGGCGAGTAAGTAGGGACGGTAAAACTGCTTAACGGCTGCATTGTCGCATTTTTGCGCCCGATGCGAGCATCGTGTTGGAACGATGCATTGTCCATGGTCAGCACCGAATAGGGTTCCGGCCACTTACCGCAATAAGGGAGGAGCTCTGCAGCTCTAAAGATTCAGACACCCCTCGGACTCCACCGTGGATTCATTGGCAGATACGGTGGCATCTCCCTCCCGGTGTCGCTTCACTGTCATCTATATACATTTGACTAACTCTCCTGGCGCCACACTGTTTGCCAAAAGGCGCAAAACTTAGAGCTGAGTTCATCAGATTTCCGCTGGTGCAGCGCAATACGAATATTCTCGTATCACAAAACATGCGTCTTCTTCGTGAATCTTGTCTCTGCTGTCGAAGCTGAGCTTGGCATTACTCCAACGTTGTAACTGGTGGTTGGCTAGACTAGCTGATCTTAAAGCCACCTCCGTTGCGTTGAGCTGAGCACTTTGCCGTGGTTGGATTAAACTTTCAACTCCGCATACTAGCCAACCATCAGCAAGTAAGTCAGCTGTGACGACGGTAACAAGTGCGGGGATCAAAGATTAAATTGCCGCCCTCAGAAAGGACATATGGATGAAGTGTAAATGCTTTCGAAGTATAAACTCACGTGGCATCAAGCATGTGTTGGTGTTGGATAAGTGCATACGCGTTTCAACAAATGCCGGAGCTTGCAGACTGGCTCTTTGTAAGGAACTCTATAGGTGAATAGGCAGATTAACAAAATAGGCTATAACAATAGGTATTCGGTTATATAGATAGGTATCCTTTGACGTAGGGTCGCTACAGGACTCGAAGCACGAGAAACGGAAGTGACTCTCGAGCGCGGAAGTTACGCTTATGGCCTGTCCGGAATGCTTCGGCGTCGGCATGCCTGGTCAAGGACGATGACGTCGCGAGCTTAATGGTCCGCCGGACCCTCGGCCGCTGACTCAGCGACGATTATTAGGCGGGGATCAGTCATCCGTGGATCGTAGACCTGACTCGTCACGCCAAGCCCGGAATAGCGTTAGGCTGATATGTTGCCCGAACTTTGCATCGTGCACCTCGTCTTCAGATTATGGCAATGCGTACAACAGCCTGGAAACTTCAGGAGTTGATCGGTCAGCCAGCGCGTAACGTTTTCAAGCCTTTGTTGATATTCGGTACTCTTGGCATTATGTTGGCATTAAGAGCCTCGACCGGCCTGTCGCGCTGCGGCTCAACTATGATTGTCTTATCTTCCAGAAGGATGTTACTCGTAGCAGCGACATTGGATGCTGTTTGCCGCCAATTTCTGCGAAGTTAGCCTAAGTCCGACCCAGCTAATAGCTCCGGACTTTCCAGCTGACCAATCAATCGCAAGTCGGTCCTTATATGAAGTCGGAATCGTCTTTCCGGCACTTGCTCTTCGTGTTCCAATCGTTACCTGACGCTTAGGTCTCACGTTTCAAACCCTGTGATGCGCTCAGCAGCACTGAGTTTGATTCATCCCAAACTTTTCTCTGGTTGAATATGGTGAGCTCATTTCACTAGGTAACCTCCTAATCGACTCAGTCCAACCATCAAGGTCACCGCACTTTCGTGATCAGACGATCCGTGTTCAGCTGGAAAAGGAGGCTGGCTGAAGGAAACGAGCTGACTGCTCGTATCGGATTGAGTTAGTCAGTGAGTGAGTGAGTGATTGATTTTATTGGGCCTGCTGATGGAGTCAATACCGACTTTCTATGAGACATGGAATGAATGCTTGGGAGATCTCGCTCGCTATCGAATGGCAATCGAAGCAACCGATATGCGAGACCGTGAGGACTGGTCCAATGTCGCCCGCATGTGGTATAATCGTGCCGCTGACCGCTCGCCGACCACAGGGAGAATACAGCATCATTTGGCGCTTCTGGCACGGCCCAACGTCATCCGTGAAATGTTTTACTATACCAAGGCACTCATCAGTGGAGTCCCTTTTGTGAAAGCTCGGGACTCCATCATGCTTGTCTTTACTCCATTCCTGGAAAAGTTCGAGTTAACCAGTCAAAAATACCCAAAAATGGAAAGTTCCTTGGTCACGGCAGCAGGCATTCTCTTCCGAGTACCGCGATAATTTGAAGGTGGTCTTGGGATACAATACGTTCGACCCTCGGTTTGTGTTTCCCCGCTCTCACCAATCCAACGTTTGCTGCTCCTCAACAGAGACGCTTGACAGATCTCCGCAACCAGCTCTGCTCTGGCGATCCTGACATAGAAACGCTAGTCGAGATTTTGATTGACAAGTTGGATCTGCTGCCACAAAACCTCACAACCAAGCAAATCGCGATGATGATGCTTGGCTGGACACAGTGTAAATCGGACACTCGCTACTTCATGACCCTTGAGAAAGATCTTGACGACCATTCTTCCGGACAAGATAGCGGAGCTCGACTATCGTTTATACGCAAAGATGTGCCAGTGGAATAAAGATCATCAACAGCCATATGTCCGAACTTTTGATGGCAATCTCGATGATTTGAAGATCCAACTCAGAACTGCCATGAAATTCAATAGCCCGACCTACGATGACTGGCTCGCAGAGCGCAATTTGATGGAAGAACGGGCATGCGCAGAAATTAAGAGCATCGACCTTGCGAAGTCGTCTTTACTGTCTATCCTGGAGTTCACTGGCGAGGATATCCCTGCGCTGTCATTTCGTCTCCCGCCTTCTAAACGTCAAAGACGAGATTCTTACACGACGCAAGTGACATCTATGGCTCAAATCCTTAGATGTCAAAGATACCAAAAGTCAAAACCTGGACTCTCACAGTTGCGTTGTACTCCAGTTCGCTGCTCTAATACTGATAAACTGCGAATAGTCTTCTTACGGTACTCGGCTTGACTCACACACCTGTCGTGCAATGACCACCCTTTCAATATATGACGTCTATGGCAGCCCACATCCTGTGGTAACGTCCTCAACTCCTCTATCGGTCGATCTTCTCTCCTCTCAATTTTCTCTCAGTATACGTGATGACGAACAACCTCCCCGACGAACGAATGGTGTACCTCGCGCTGAAGGAATCCTTCAAAGGTGCGACGCGCATGTTCGCAAGTCCAGAAAGGTGCGCGAGATCGTCCAGAAGGCGCGAAACAACATCGATGTGAGAGACCTGATCCAACAACACAATATTGAGAATGTCTGCGGTGTAACAAAAACACTTCTCGAACAACAGATCTTTGAGTCTACTCTGAAGGCGAAGATTCGCTTCCCTCAGGTTTTCGAGATTTCTCCCGCCCAGACGGCCGAACGGTCTGCTTCGGAGGCGGAGGCCGCAAGATTAGAAGCCAACGCCATCAAGTCTGCTTCCGCACGCCAGAACGACAACGCGGCCCCTGGAGACAGCCCTGACGTCCACTTGTTCGGCGACAGAGCATCGCGGACTGGTAGGTAGCTCTCGTCCAATGCTTCTAGCTTTGAAAGTTAATATTTCAGTAGATCTCCACGAGCCGCCGACATCTCTTCGTAAGCGGCCATTTCCCCACACCAGCGTTCAAGTTCCCTCTCTCTATCCAGTATATCTGCCATATCAAACATAGCACCGGCTGCTATTAAAGGTGCAAGGGATTCTCGAAATTGCCTGCTATAACTTTGGGTCACGGGAAATGAAGGACATCATTGAAAAGAGGGTTGGGATTGCCCAGAATGTGTCGAATTGAACGTGTGGGCACGAACCCTTCTCATCAAGAAGGATCTTTTTCAACGCATGGATCTAGAAAGCTTGGGACAATCGTTTTCCGAGCTCACCAACTCTATCAGTTAACTCCGTCATACAGTGGTTCACCAGCTTCGGATTAATGCTAACGGACTGGAGCGATTTCTGGCCGATGACGAAACTCTAGCGAAAATTACTTCACGATGACCACAGCACAAGATCATTAGCACGACTTCGGAGGGAAACGCAAACTAGCATCGATGACTGAAACGGAATAAGGATCTCCTTGAATCGAGGCTCAATTCGAAACTGAAACAAAGTTCGGATCAGTGGCTCGAACTGGATTGGCTTGAGCAATCGGTCGTGGACGAGATGTTGAAGGCAGACAAAGAGTATTATCTTATGGCCGGTGGTACCTTGGACGAAGCTATACAGTCCTGTGATACGGCGATACAAAGTACTGCGCCGACAGAGGTTGCATCGAAGTCTGAAAGCGATTGCGAGGATGATCTCGCAACTTGATGGCTCTCATGATTCTGTGGGAACAGGGACTGCGGTTCGATCCAACTTGCACTTCACACACCACAGGAAATCTGTGGGTGGCGTCAACACCTTGCTCATGCGTAGCGTAACATCACTAAGAATTACAGTACAAAGCGAGAGTACTGTACATTTATCCCGATTGGCAGTCCCAAAATAAAATGGGAAGTTGATTTGCTACAGTATCAGGTAGGTCTGGCTTCTCACGTTCGGGTTGACATTTATGTGGTGAGCTTGCCCATTTGTGCAGAAATTGTGGCGGAGCTTATCCGTATCTTTCCTAGACGGAGATGACAACCTCAATCCAGCCGATCACATATTATTGACGTAGTCCGTCCTACGACAGTACCCCGCAATGGCCAACACATAGATAAGTTAATGTTGAGCAGAGCTCACCCCGAACCATACACAGTATTCTGAAGCCAGATAATGTACCTCCTGTGTTCCATTTGCGAAGAGTGTACTATAAAAGGGATTACCCTTCACAACACCATTGTTCACACAGTCTTATGTAGCCTATGGCTATGATAGGGTCCGGTGACGAGGGAGTAGAGTCTACCAGTCTGCCATTCTAAGCAAGGTATATGTTGTGCGCTAAGTAAAAGGATCACGGGGATCTCAGTGTCCTATTGGCGCATGTCGCGTACTTCTTTATTCATAGTCCTGCGAAGTAACACGCATGGCAGAGCGCTGATGTCGTGCATCGTTTGTAAGTTGTAAGTGGCCTTGGTGCTGTCCGTATACTGGAAGAGGATGAGAGGTGGCTTGTTAGCTCCGTAGACCACCTTGTAGCGGACCTGCGGTGCTCCTGGCTGGTGACAATCCAGCCGTGCGATGGGTATAGAAGACCTGCAGATGTACCGTCCTCCTTAGCCCGCTTTGCTTTTCAAGGCTGACACTTCGGATTGTAGATGCAGCTATGAATGTAATGTTCCGACAATTCTGGAACCGTATGAACAACCTGGCATCCATTATAGGAGACAGGAAACCGGGGTTCCGTCGACAACGTCCATTGATTGCCGTCGTTCCTCGATGAGATTAAGATAGCTGGTACGTTGCTGGTGACAAAGCTGGAGGGATCTCGACGATTTCGCACTGAGATGTGGCCGTGCTCGTCCAGCAGTTGATGTTGATGGAGGATGTGGAATGCTGTGATTAGGCGTGATAAAGTCTCCTCCATCCTGTCCAAGCCTCCAAGCCTGGAGATAGTCGACCTCGGAACAAGGTCGAAGGTTGTTCCTAGTTGACCTTGAAGATCAGAACAGGGAGCGACAATTATGATAATTGATATACTCGTTGCACTGAGGTCAGTGCGCAAAGGGAGGGACACGAGAAAACCTCTACCATAAGTATATCACGTACTGGATCATTTACCTGCCCAGCCCGGGGAACATTCCCAAGAACATTTCCGGATGCGATGCGAAACAGCGCCATCATGCGCTAACTTGGGAATCGCCTTCACAAGACCATACCGGACAGAGGTTACCAAAGAAAGCCGCTAATCACCACAACTTGGCACCGTTTATCCAATAAGACTGGCGGAAGTGGGTGGAAATGTCAATTCCGGCATCTGTTCCTGTCCGGAGGAAACGTCCCAAACTCTTTTTTGCTCTAGTCCCACATAAGCCAGGGCTCGAGTGGTTCTGAGCCTGAGCAGCACGGCCTCAAGGGTCTGTCGCATACGGCCATTGCCACCTCTACAGAATCCAATTGAGATAAAAGCCAGTCTCCCACCAGCCAGGGTCTCCTCGCTCAGTTCTAGCAGGCCTCAGAACATTCGTACGGAGAACATGCACTTCTAACAACCATAATGCAGTGATGACATTAACAAAGGCCTCCAGTACATATCAGGTGGCTTCTTGGACATCACAATGGATAAACCCTCGGGTTATCCAGCGTCAGCACGGGCTATCGAGCCCGCGGGGGACCTTGCTCCTGCTTCATTAAGTACCACTCTTTCAGAAAGGAGAAGTCTAGGCAGCGGATTTCCCGTGCATGTGACAGATGCTGTCTAATGCGAACAAAATGTTTGGGAGGCAACCCTTGTGGGAAATGTGTGACGGACCATGCCATCTGCATTTACAGCGACAGGAAGCGGGAAAGGAACCAAAAGTCACAATACACCTTCATCCGATCCGCGACATATTGCTAAGATGGTGATCACAGGGCTCTTGCTGAAAGCATTCAGCTCGCCGAAAAGCTGAAGGTCCAAAACAATATGCTTCTCCAAGCATTGAAGGACGTTGCCGCAAGCCCGAGACTGGAGCCTAAGGAGTCTGCCGACATTAGGCGAGTTATAACCAATGTTTGTTCACACATACACTCTGGCGGCCCGGCTGATCTTGACTACCCAGTGCGGGCTTGAGACAGTGGACATCCTCCCAAGTCCTGCAACCACGCAATGCAAGACCAGCCCTGGTGAATCTGCAAGTCTGAAGGAGACCGTCGGCGGCGAGCACTATATCGATGCTAGTGTAGGCTCGCCAGGCCACCAAAACCTACTAACGCAGCCCCTCGGTATCGGCAACGACGGTGGAATGGTGGGGTTCATCGGCAAAATGTCTGAAGTATCTTGGCTTGCACGAGCACAACATCATCTCCTTTCCGGCGTGGACGGGCGCTCTGCCAGGCAAGGGCAACCCTCCGATGACGATGCTGCAACACAATTTACCTATTTCATGGACGAGGAGGACATCCTAAGTGTTGATGAAGATTATGTAGACCCCCTTCACTGGCCAGGCGAGCCGGCCGTTCAGATTCTTTCCGAAGCATTCTTTCACAGTGTTCCAAATGCATTACACGGCATTTCAAGAGAGCAATTTCTTGGAGAGCTCCATGCATTTGCACAGTATCATGGGTCGCTGTCGTGGGATCAACGCAGATGGCTGGCACTAACAAATCTCATTTGGGCCTTGGGATCGAGATGGTTGCACAAATCCATGCTGGCTGACCTCCCTGGGCTGGACAACCACCTCGTATTTTATGCTCGAGCTCGGGCGCTTGGGCTCGACCATAGGGTCATACTGGGTGATCCTGATATCCACGGTGTCAAGAAGCTGGGACTACTCTCACTCTATCTCTACACGAATGGGTCCGCCTCAAGGTGAGCTTGTTGCTTGCGGGAACAATGGCAGCGCTAACGATGTGGTAGAGCATGGTCATTGGTTGGCTTGGCCATCAGAAATGCAACATGTCTCGGCCTACACCTCCAAACCAGTCACCGTGATATAGATCAGGCGCAGCGCCATGAGAGAAGTCGTGTATGGTATTCACTGTTCAATCTCGAAGCTGCTATGTCGGAGACTTTGGGAAAACCACCATCTATGTCCCTAGCGTATACCACAATTCCGATAGGGCAATTGGATCCTGGATCAGAAACGAGCAATGCTAGCTTCTCAGGAGTTGCTGATACGAGGGGGTTATGGTTGGACTACCTTCGCCTCAAACGAAACGTGGTCCAAACAATGCGTGGTGGGCGAATAGCCTGGCAGAACTTCCAATTCATCGGTTATGGTGAGCCTCGACCGCATCTGGACCACCGGACACGTCTTTCTACGATCAGTAGTGAGGCGATGACACAACTTTACATGCCAACGAATCAAGATTCTTGGGCAAGCACGCAAAAGAAAATCCACAGCCTCGATACCCAACTGGTGGATTGGGAGCAAAATCTCCCAGAAGACCTTAGTCTAGATAGCGGAATGGCTACCAACGACGACCCTCGTGCAAAGATCGACTTGCTCTTATATTACTGCAGTATCAAGATGATCATACACAGGCCTTGCCTATGCCATATCTATATTCCAGCCGAGTCGGAAGCTTCGAAACAGTTCAACAGCAACAGCGCCAGGGATTGTGTTCAAGCTGCCTGTGCATTGGTCGACATCCTACCAGAAGACCCGACTGCTCATGAAGCATACCAGCTATTGCCATGGTGGAACCTCCTACACTACCTTGGTCAAGTGCTGAGTGTTTTCATTCTCGAGCTTTGCCTGAAAACGGAACATTTTGGCGGCTCGGCACCCCTGCTTATCCACCCGGTACGGAAGGCTATGTCGTATTTGTGTTGTCTCACTAGCGGCTCATTATCATCGTACAAAGCGTTCAGAATATTCCGCCAGATGCTGACGGTTCTCAGCTCTCGTGGCGATGGTTTCGACGACGACAGGATCCCACTTGAGCCATGTGTGCCTGAAGGCTGGACACAAAGGCACGAGACAGCGCTCATGGACGCACTTAGACCGTTGAGAGTACATGGAACTCAAAATCGACTTGGTGAGATCGAGAAAGTCGAGAAGTAGATTGAGCGAAGGCTTCTACCAGCGCGAGCAAAATTTCCTGGAATGGCTCGTACATACTATACGTCACCCAAACCTCACTGTCGGTTCATTAGATGCATAACCGTTGTCGGTAATGTACCTAAGACATAGTTGCTGGCTCTGAGCTTTCGTCATGACTGTCTCTTCCCAGAAGCCGATTGCCTTCGCCAAGTACGACGTGCGGGAAACACTGAATTCGACGTCGGAATCTCGACGTGAGCACGTTCCACTTCCATCTTTGGACCTGAGCGTGGCTCTGAGCCTCGCCGCTTCAACTCGAGATGACAATCCTGAGCATGCCCCGCCCGTGACTGGTCTTGGTGACATTCGGCCTGAGCAACAAGTAAGTGCTGAAAGCTTCATTTCCCATCCAATCTTAGTTGTTGAATCGACATCAACCAATTCTGAATGTACTACTACTAGTATGTACATTACAGGGTGTAAAGAATATCTCAAGAGCTCCCACCCTTCTTCCCAGCCTCAGATGGATCGACCTTACCATGAGCAAATTCCCCCTTTTGGCTTCCTCCGCTGTTTCCGCTACCTGAGCTGTCACCGCTCGTGCCACCGGTGGAACTGGAATCAGTGTTGGTTCCGCCTCCACTGGACAAGCCACCC